ACTCCACTTGACACCATAACCACTGTAGACTCCCATGAACCGCCGCAGCTCTTCCAGACCGCACACTCCCCAATTCTCTTGCAAATAGTGATTGTTAAAAGAAGGAAATGGGTCTCGCAGTCTCCACCCATTCTGGACCCAAGACCAGGGTCCAGCTTCCAGTAGGTCAACCTCTCCGAATTCCAGAGAGCAGAAACAGGAACAAGCTCTTAGCAGAGCTTAGTGATCATACCCTGGGGAGTATAGTGATTATAGCAATCCCCAGAGTGTAGTTCTCCAATCCCCCAAACATGAGTCGAAACTTCATGAAGGTACAAGATAATCCGACTCCAATGAGCGTTTATTACTCATTATATACAAGTTTTCAGGCCAGAGGCACACCCCCTGGACCTGATGGTAAACTGTGACAAAAGGGACACAAACCAATGGGAACACTTATTAACATAACACTCCCACATACACAATGAAATCCCTCCTCTCCATCCTGGAGATAATTGGCTTAAGGCACTGCAGTAAACTCAATTATCTCCAGGTACAGAAATTATCTATGGAAAAAACACAACGAGGGAACCGGCTGTTAATCTAAATAGGAATAAATAAAGAAAAATATAGTGTAATACAGTTTACAATATAAACACTGAGCAATATAAAATGCACTCACAGGATTTCGAACAAATTCAAGCTTGTAAGGTGCCTCCCCCGATAATATGGGGGGCCTGGGGAAATCCCCTGGATATTTTCACTCCAACACAGGACTCCGGGTGAAGTTTGAAAAAGCGGCTTTAATTCAATATTAAAAAATATATAAAAATAAAATGAATATAAATAAGGTCCTACGCGTTTCGTCCCTTTAACAAAATAGGGACTTCCTCAGGGACCACAATATTAAAATACAATTTGATGCAATACAATCAAAAAACAGCCTAACAAATCCCTACCCGAAAAGTCCTTTAAATAGGGCTAATCCCTCAATGTAATTCAGTCACATGTTTTTCTCAGTCTCTCCTCATTGGTCCTCAGTTGATGGAATTCATCTGTTACCGATCGCAACTGCGAGTATTCACAGCTGATTTCGGACTTGTTGAATAATCCTCCGTCAACCTCCGGGACGGAAGTGCCATGCGTTCCAACTGTGTTGACGGAACCGGAAGTAGTATGCGTTACAACCTCGTTTTTTTGCGTTCCATTTATAATCTGTAATATCTAGCCATAAAAATACATATGAATACTTCCACTCTACAACTCCAAAGTCACTAACAATGTATTACCCCTATAATTCATACAAGAATTATTATATTATACACCACATAAATTCCTCCAAATAACTGGATTCTTTGCACTTCCTGCAGGGTGAGCCGTATACGTAAAAGTATTTTATGCCTATAAAATATCTTTATTATAAAGTTAAAAACAAAAATCTATTAATATCTAAACGCGTTTCGCCTTAGATATTAATAGATTTTTGTTTTTAACTTTATAATAAAGATATTTTATTGGCATAAAATACTTTATTGCCATTTGCCTTTTCCTTTACCTGATTTTACATACATTTTCTTTTATTGCTTTTACGTATACGGCTCACCCTGCAGGAAGTGCAAAGAATCCATAGGTGGGGATTATACCACCTGAGCGCCTTCACTGAGCAGTTTTGAGTCTGCTCTACTTTACGTGAGTAGTATACTTTACTTTCTTTTAATTTTATTACATACAGTGAGCACTATATATTTTATTTCATTTTTTCCTCTGGGTCGTATTACGTCAAATTGAACGCTGAACCCACGTCAGATATTCAACTATCAAAATTTACTCCATATATCCTTGAAGTGGGGATTATTCCACTTTACGCGAGCAATATCAGAGCTGATCCTAGCTCTGAAAAGTGTGAGTAAGACTGATTTTATACTTTTATATTTATTTTATACACCGAGTTACTGTGCCATTGGAGTCCTGTTTTTATTTTTCTCTCCACATATGCTGAATTCTCAACATTTGAAGATACGATCCCACCTACACCCTAAAGAATATTCCTTTACAAGTGGGACCTACCCTCACGGACTGTGATAAGCCTATTTTATTGGACTATTGTTTTATTACTTATTTTATTCTGTATTTTATCTGACTAATTTAGTCTTTTATTTTATCAAGTTTTAGGCGCATCCTTATATCTCTGTTTGTTCATAACTAGGTGCCAAAATGTTCTTAAAATTTAGATTTTTCTTAAAAATACGTTTGGGCCGATCCGGTAAGACAGAATTCAGTACAGGATCCTGTTGGAGAATCGACCAGTGTTTTTGTAAACTTCTCCTAATTTTAGCATGATTAGTACAATATTGAGTTCTAAAAGTAATTGTATTATCCTGATAGGATTTAGCACAAGGTTTGTCCATCAGATAGTCACCCCTGTCGGATTGTAAAGCCATACGAATTTCCCTATCCGATGTATTCTTTTTATAACCTCTTTCAACCAATTTGTCCCTGATATGGCCAGATTGCATTATAAAGTCCTGGACTTGAGAGCAATTTCCTCTCACCCTAGCAAATTGGCCCTTGGCTATTCCTCTAAGCCAGGGGCGGTGATGGCAGCTCTGCTGATGAACATATCCATTGCCATCACTAGGTTTGAAGAAACACTTTGTTCTTATGGAATCATTTTCACATATCAAGGACAAATCTAAAAGATTGATTTCATTTTGATTCCATACAGAAGTGAATTTTTAAATTATACTTGTTCTGATTTAAATAATTTTCAAAACGTTGAAAAGCAGAAAAGGACCCCTTCCAAATAATAATATCATCGATATATCTCCGCCAGAGCACCAGGTTCTCCCTCCAGTCATGACCAGCCCAAACTGTAAGATCTTCCCATCTCCACATTTAGGTATTGGCATAACTGGGGGCGAACCTGGTGCCCATGGCGGTTCCCGTGATTTGTAAATAAAATTTATCATTAAAGAAAAAATAATTGTGTTCTAAAATAAATTTAACTGAATGTAAAATGAACTCTTTGATATCCTGAGGTAAGTATTGGTCTTCTGTCATGAAATGATTAATGGCTTCCAATCCTAATTTGTGACTAATTATAGTATAAAGGGATGACACATCTAATGTAGCCCAACTATAACTAGAATGCCATTCAATATTTTCCAATTCTTGTAGGAATGATTTTGTATCTTTAATATAAGATAGGGAGCCCTGAGCGTACTTTTGTAGATATGAATCTACAAAAGCAGAGAGGTTGGCAGACAAGGAATCTACTCCACTAATTATAGGGCGTCCTGGGGGATTAAATAAACATTTATGGATTTTTGGAATAAAATAAAAAATTGGAATTATCTACATTTTACACCAACAGCAAAAATACATAATTCTTATTATATTACACAGAACCCCCACATTTAACCTATCCCCAGATAGCTCGGATCTGTGCGCCCAATCTAGGTGAACAGCACTCAGATCCCATGAACAGAGTAAATTTGCCATGGGGTAAAGCATAGCAAGGGCTGTTGAGAAACCAAGGAGGGACAAAAGCAGTCAGTTCCAACTGGTTTGGCAGTGTGCCTGGGACAATGCCCTGCTGGAGAACAACAGACAGGAAACGGGGAAGAAACACACCTTCCCATGGAATCAAATGGGCAGAAACAGTCTTTAGAAGCCAATAAGCCCCAAATAGTCTTTTTAAATGCCAATACATCCCAGGGCCATAGTCATGAGGAAGGAGGCTGGCAATCAGGCTCCTCCAACAGCCAGAGGCAAAGGGCAGCTTGGCACCTAACAATCCAGTGACAAAAGGCATTTCATCACACCATCCATTACTAAAGTGCCCCTGGGACATTTCCCATTAATTACTATACTGCCGATAGGGGATTTCCCATCCATTAGTATTCTGCCCCTTGGAGATTTCCCGTCCATTACTATATTGCCCCTAGGGCATTTCCCATCTATTACTATACTAACCCTGGGACATTTCCCATCCATTACTATACACTTGTTCCTACTAGCGGTGATAGGTCCTGACAATGAACAGAAACTGCTTATGTGCGGAAAAGATAACTTCCTATCGGAAAGTGTCACGCTGGGCCTTATGTAATATACCTTACCTGGAATATTTCCATCCATTTGTAAACTCCTGCCCATATCATTTTTTACTATTTGGATACAGCCCATAGTATATTTTTTCAAAAGTAATTTTTTTTAATTCCATAAAGCGTTGCACTAATAGCAAAGAAAGAATAGAATTCCAATAACGTAAAGGTTTTCCGTCCGTATTATAATTTCACGCTTTCATCCAGTGAGATGCAGCAGAGAGTCATTTGTATGTGTAAACAGATTAAATCAGGGGATATAACAAGTAATATATTTGTAGAACATGTTTATTACAGTGAATGGTTTACAGCAGAAAGGTAAAATTGATGAAAATGCTCCCACTTTACACATACTGACAGCTACAAAGGTTCAAACAAATAAATTACTTTACGCCAAGTGACACCATATATACATACAAAGAATCAATTAGTCAATCGCTATTTATATATCCAATAGCCCATTAAATATCACTTCCAGTAAACTAGCATGAGATGGCTTAGATGGGATAACCGGGGTCCTGGAAACAAGCTTCATAGAGTAACGTGGGGGCAGAGTGGGGGAGGAGGGTTGTAATTCGGTTTTCCTCTATTTGGTCATTTACGGTGGATGTGACGCTGCTTTGAAATTCTATTCCTGAAGAAGCAGATCTTTTAATAATAAACATTGCCTGATGCTTACACCCCCTAGCAGTGGGGAATAACTACCCCTTTAAACTAACCCCGTAGCAGCAGTGTATTCAATAGATGTAGCTATTATAAAACAAAATTCTTACAATTTACAGTACGTTAAGCAAATATACACAACTCTCAAATCAAGATCACAAGACATCAAAATTCATTATGATAAAGGCATAGAGGAGAGGAAGAGCTGATGATAGAAGATATGAAAGGTTTCAATGAATGGGCTAAAACGCAGTATCACTCTGTCTGGGGAACAGATATTGTTGGGCCCTTCGGGTCATCAAACCGATCCATAGTCTTCAAATTCATGACCATGTGCAGTCCAAAGGTAAGAATAAAGACGAACAGCAGTGTTGTGATGAGACCCATCCAGATTCCAGGGGAGAAGAAGCTGGCACAGTCACTTGCATAAGAAAATTTCATGCCTGTCACATTAAAAGCCTGGATCTGGGAAGGAAAATTTACACATCAAAAATAAATAAAACAATTACCAGACTATGCGACTTGGAACATCTACCCATTTACAAAACATTATATATATATATATTACACATACATACACACACACACACACACACACACACACTACCTGGAAGTCAACCATCTCCAGATTCCAGTTGGAGGAACTGGATGCTTTGCTGGTGTTGCTCACAAGAAGACCACCGTACAATGCATTGTCATTGACATACTGGCAGTGGAAAGAATAATTGCTGGGCGCGGTGACTTGCGGAGCCAGGAAGGTAGCATTCTGGCTGTTGTAATCTATCTGCACTTGGTTCAATGTGAACCACCAGCGACCAGACACAGAGTAAAAGCGGCTGGAAAACTGGAAGCTGTAGAGAAATATAGAAACACAGATTATGGCAGAAGACAAGAATCAAGGTGCACTGAAATGTGAAATCTCACACTGGATTAATCATTGATATACATACACATGCCAATGAAGTCTACAGCAGGTACCTTTTGCTGGACCTTCTGTATTGAGTATTATGTCTTTACATTGACAATACATTTCTTTCATATATAAGACCACGAAAGACACTCAGACCATGCAATCTCAATGAATATAGTTTGAACCTTGCAATGTAAAACATGGTGTATTGTAGAATAGCAATGTTTCCATTGACCAGCTTCCAGTAGAGGTGGTTCTAATGTAATGACAGAGTTTCACTCGATCATGTGACATTTAACGTCCATGAGGTCATAGAATGCCACTCATAGGAATGCACTGTGCTTGCAACACATCGCTTCTCAACCGCGATGACTCACTAAAGAATAATTGAGAGACATCGAGAAGCTGTCGTTTGAGGACTACACGCATTATCTGTATAGAATACTCTGTCCTCATTACTGCCGGACATATCCCATCAGCACTTTGTAGCACAGCAAGATATTGTGCGATAGACAGAATGCATCGGGAGGACCAGGCTTGGCGGAGAAATCAGGTTTTACAATGATGTCTCCAGAAATTAGGAGCACCTAGGTTCTATAAGTAAGAGTGTGGCTTCCTTTTTTGTGGATTTCAGAAATTAGGACACATGGCTGAGGATCTTTTTTTAATTTTTGAAAATGTGTAAAAATATATTGTATAAATATCCTGAGTATGCAGTATTTGTACTGGACTAATATGGACTTAATTTTTATTATGATGAACAGCGTGTCATGGCTACCAACCCCCGCCTACTGAACAGCGTGTAACGGCTACCAACCCCCGTCTAATGAACAGCGTGTAACGGCTACCAACCCCCGTCTAATGAACAGCGTGTAACGGCTACCAACCCCAGTCTAAGGAAAAGCGTGTAACGGCTACCAACCCCAGTCTAATGAACAGCGTGTAATGGCTACCAACCCCCGTCTAATGAACAGCGTGTAATGGCTACCAACCCCCCTCTAATGAACAGCGTGTAATGGCTACCAACCCCCGTCTAATGAACAGCGTGTAATGGCTACTATAGCGGATGGTACTAGGGCTGTCCTAAAAGACTGTGTTAAAACTGCAATTCGTGGGTTGTTTCTGCTGTATAGTTAATTGTAAGTAGAATTCGTATGATTGTTCGGTAGTTTCCATCTGTATTTCATACGAATGGAAACTACCGAACTAATAGACCACCCCAGAGTGAAGTGTGTCCCTCGTTAAGCTGCAAATTGCTCGCTAACCGCAGACTAATAGGTGTTTTATGTTGGTAACTGGGTGGCCGCCATTCGGCATGCGAACACGTAGCGGCGGCCATCTTACGCACGAAAGGCTCAGCGGTGTTTGGTCGTCGAGTGTCTGGAACTCAAATCGGACACTCGATTACCCGAACACTGCCGACACCTCCAGAGTTCCGTAACTCCCGAACGGGAAGGCAAATCAGCCCCCCGTTCGGTAAGTTTAAAGTACTGAATGAGGGGAATCATGCAAACGTAAATGTATTAGTGGAAGGCAGTTTTTTATGCGTCTTTCAACTCCCGAACGGAGACCGAAACGCATGGAACCCTTTTCGAATACCACCTCGTGTGCGGTCGGTCGAATTACACCCCCCACCTAACTCCCGAACCACTGGTCTGATCTGGGTGAATTTTGGATATGTTAGTCACCCAGATCAGGGCTACCAGGGAGTACCCAAAGTATTGGTGTATCTGCTAATCTTAGGGTACATCCAGAACTTGGGGAAAACTATAACCTGGGTAATGGGATTAAGTGTCATACTAAGGGGAGGAGATGTGTGGGAGGTAACTGCGATTCCATTGGGTACTGTACTAATGAATGTGAATCCCTCCCTTGCATGGGAGAAATGCTTAAAAGGATGTTGTGTGGAATAAAAGTTAGTTCTGCTCCTGATGCTGTGTGTCGTCCAGTCATTGTGATCTGTATGGGGATATTCTTGGATTACCTTGCTTGCTGGAATTATTGCTTTATGGGATTCTTCATCACTTGTTCCTGAGCCTCACTGGGATCTTAGTGGAGTTAACCTGTGGAATATCAGGCCTCCGCTACAGCTACCAACCCCCGTCTAATGAACAGCGTGAAATGGCTACCAGCCCCCGTCTAATGAACAGCGTGTTATGGCTAACCTCTCACCCTCCCATGACAAAGTAAAGAACATTGTGCTGTATCAGATCCATTTACCCACTTCCACGCAAAAACCTTGTACTAAACAGCTGAACAATTTCCTGTTTGAATATAGAAAGTAACCCCCCCCCACCAAAATGCATACAATAAGCCCACAATTTACCACCCCCAGCACTTACGATAATGTCAAAGGGTTACTCCCAACAGCATTATTGTAATTCAGCACCAGCCTGAAAAGGAAAAAAATTGTATATTAAAGACGAAGGGGCCACTCCATGACATTTACTAAATCACATGCTACGGTCACAGGCGTGGACATGAAGGTGGGAGTAATACACAGCCCTTACTTCACTACCTTATTTTAAACAGATCAACGCCGATCACTTACTTGGCACTGCTAGTGTTGCAGTGGGATTCAGTCACATCTACATCCTTTGTAATAAATGTCCTGTTTGTCAAGTCCAGCCTCGAACCATTCACTACAACAGAAATATTGGTGGCCCAGAATAGGATGCACGGAGTGTTATCTGAACCATTAAAGAACACGGGGGGGTAGCTATTGTTTTGCTGTGCTGTCTCAAGTAGCTGTCGACCCAAATTACCCACAGCAAATGCAGATTCCTGGATCACCTGGATATAAGACAGACAATAACCGATAATTACAGATACACAGAACCTAATGTACATCCTCCAATCCCCACAGATACACAGAACCTAATGCACATCCTCCAATCCCCACAGTTACAGATACACAGAACCTAATGCACATCCTCCAATCCCCACAGATACACAGAACCTAATGTACATCCTCCAATCCCCACAGTTACAGATACACAGAACCTAATGCACATCCTCCAATCCCTCAGAATTACAGATACACAGAACCTAATGTACATCCTCCAATCCCCACAGATACACAGAACCTAATGCACATCCTCCAATCCTCACAGTTACAGATACACAGAACCTAATGTACATCCTCCAATCCCCACAGTTACAGATACACAGAACCTAATGCACATCCTCCAATCCCTCAGAATTACAGATACACAGAACCTAATGTACATCCTCCAATCCCCACAGTTACAGATACACAGAACCTAATGCACATCCTCCAATCCCTCAGAGTTACAGATACACAGAATCTAATGTATGTCCTCCAATTCTCCTCCCTTAGTAAAGTTCTAAAGGAGAATAAATAGGACAATGTAGAACAAGTTGATATGAATAGTTTTGTTTTTAGCAAACCACCATAGAAAGGGTTACTACAGCAACAGTTTTTTATATTTTTAAGAAAACACAAATTTTGGTTGGTGTAACCTTTTAAGTTGTTTTTGTGCTTAAAGTCCCTTTAATTTACACCAGACCTACCCGTGATGGTCGGAGTGCAGTCAGTATTGCCGTATAGGGAACACCCTCAGATTTCAGCGTGCTCAGGACCTGACCAATCACCTCATCTGCAAGAAGAGATCCAGAAACATGTAAAACATCTACAGTAAATCCAAAATAGGGATACTAAGCTTTGATGTTCACATTTACATCTTTGACAAAAGCAAAAAGTTAAATTAGCGATAACAGAGGTTTAACATTCGGGCTATGAATAGCATTAAAATATGGGCTATTGACCAGTTCAGCTGCCCTAGAAACCCATGGATTTTGAAAATCCCAAACTGGAAGATACATCAAAAATATATCATAAAAACCAAGGACATCTTTAGTAGTCATTATTCCAGCACTACAAAAGACAATATGTTCATTAAATTTGCACAATCATTCTCACATTTAAAAAAAAAAAAAAGGTAAACAAAAATTATGTCGCTGGCTGGGCAATCGGTCCTCTCCAATACCAAGGAACAACCTGTATATGCAGGGTATCAGCGCTCTGTATATTGTGATATATTGATACAGAGTGAGGAATATCTTTATACGGTGTATCGGCGCTCTGTATATTGTGATATATTGATACAGAGTGAGGAATATCTTTATACGGTGTATCGGCGCTCTGTATATTGTGATATATTGATACAGAGTGAGGAATATCTTTATACGGTGTATCGGCGCTCTGTATATTGTGATATATTGATACAGAGTGAGGAATATCTTTATACGGTGTATCGGCGCTCTGTATATTGTGATATATTGATACAGAGTATCTTTAAACGCTGTGTATGAGAAGCATGAAAAGATCACAATGTAACAGTCTATTAAATGCAAAATTCCTGACCCTGGGCCTAATTTCCCTCGGCATCCTTACCTATTCGCATATGGCAACCTGACCACAAGCAGAGATGGAATACTTTCGTTTAATTTTAGCTCTAGTAGTGTGGACTGATCAACGTGCAGAGGACTGACCCCAATCTTCTCTTTCAGATAGGTGGAGAGGATGTTAGCCGCATACCAATCCACTGCTGGGAGAACCAGGGAAGATGGAGAGGATTCCATAATGCTCTACAAAACCAATTGAACATGGATTGTGCTGTAGTAAAAATACACAATGAACCCCCTTTAAACCCCCAGGATGCTCCATAAATAGAAATCCACTGTGAGAGTGCATTTGTGTGAAGTGTCAGTGTGGATGAATGCAGCGATGTGTTTGTGTGAAGTGTCAGTGTGGATGAATGCAGCGATGTGTTTGTGTGAAGTGTCAGTGTGGATGAATACTGGGGGTAGAGTTCTGTAAGTAGATGCAGCGATGTGTTTGTGTGAATGTGGTGTATTTGCTCCTCTTCCCATATCGCTAGCCCTCACCTATCAAGGATACGATACCCTTAATCTATTAACCTCTATCTGAAACTGACACTTTTCCTTGTCAATGTCACCCCCACCCTTCCCATTAATTGTGAAAGCCCCACCATTAGCTACATTTAGTGTTTTCAGAACATGCAACACTAAAAGCGATGTACATACAGCCACAAATAGACACTAACCTCAAGGTTTGGAAAAGCACTGTCCTGCTTGTTTCCATAAACTCCCCCAAATGCTGTGAAGTCCTCAATGCTCAGCTGCCACAAAAAAGAAACATATGAAGAAAATTAAATACAGAAATAAGATTGTAGCGGATGGTATTAAGGCTGTCCTAAAAGACTGTGTTAAAACTGCAATTCGTGTGTTTATTCTTCTGTATAGTTAAAACTGTATGTAGTATTTGTATGATTGTTCGGTAGTTTCCATCCCTACTCCATACGAATGAAAACTACCGAACCAATAGACCACCCCAGAGAGAAGTGTGTACCTTATTAGTCTTCACACTTCTCTAACCGCAGGTTAATTGGTACTTTGTGCATGTATCTGGGTGGCCGCCATTCGGCATACGAACACGTGGCAGCAGCCATCTTACGCACAAAAACGTTAGCGGTATTTGGTCGTCGAGTGTCTGGAACTCAAATCGGACACTCAATTACACGAACACCGCTGAGACCTCCAGCGCTCCGTAACTCCTGAACGGGAAGGCTAATCAGCCCCCCTTTCGGTAAAAAGTACTGAACAAGGGGATTCATGCGAATGCAATGTTAATCATGGATGTCAGGTTTTTATGTGTGTTTTACCTCCTGAACGGAGACCGACTGCAGAGCCAAAACGCATGGAACCCTTTTCGGCTACCCCCTCGTGTGCGGTCGGTCAAATTGTCCCTTCCACATAACTCCCGAACCCCTGGTCTGATCTGGGTGAATTTTGGATATGTTAGTCACCCAGATCAGGGCTACCATGGGGTACCACTTAGCCCCTTGTACCTAACTGTTTTGGGGTACATCCAGAACTCGGCGAAAATTGCAGCAGATATAATGGGATTATGTGTCACACTGAGGGGAGGAGATGTGTGGGAGGTAACTGTGACATTATTGGTTACTGTCCTAATTATGATGAATCCCTCCCTTGCATGCGAGAATGCTTAAAAGGAGGTTGTGTGATTAAAAGTTCTGTTCTGCTCCTGATGCTGTGTGTCGTCCAGTCATTGGGATCTGTATGGGGATATTCGTGGATTACCTTGCTTGCTGGAATTATTACTTTATGGTATTTTTACTACTTGTTCCTGAGCCTCACTGGGATCTTTAATGGAGTTAACCTGGGGAATACCAGGCCTCCGCTACAAAGATGTACAGGCACAACCCCCAGGCTCCAACAAGGAACCAGATTTGCCCACTAGGAGGAGGTTAAATGAAGGATTATTAAACACACCCAAAAATTAATGTTCAGCAGATTTTCGTTATTTCTATGATTTTACTGTATTTTTTGTAGTCCGTTTTACATTTTTCCATGCATAATATTTATAAACAACCCAGAAAGTATTTTTTACTGAAATTCCAACAAAATCCAGAAATCAAAGTGCTCCCTACCTGGACGCGTCACTTTCTGTTAGCTCCAACTTAATATTTTGCACCAGGGCTAACTTGATGGATGATAGGAATTGGAGTCATACCATGCACACATGACATAGTAAACAAGCAATATAGAATGAAAAAAAAAAAAACTTCTGTGTTTCCATAGAACCTTTCAGGTAAAAATGCCGCCCCCCACACCCCATTATAGGAATGTCACCTTGGGGGGAGGTGGGGCATTCTACGAGTGACAATACTGCTTTAGCATCTCTGGCAAAACAGTTCACTAGAGACTCGAGTATTCACCAATTATTACTAGACCACTCTCTACAACCACTTGCTTGAAATTATTCTCCTACAGCAAGGTCAGAAATTAATGGAGATTCTAGATAATCATAATAATGTATGTTAGAATTTCACTTTACAAATCTGTCACTAACCTAACTGACAAAATCACAAAAAGAGGAAGCTAGATCTTGAATGTAGTGGGGGTTGGGAGAAATGAATGGTTTCAGAGTTGACTAACCCTACCAGACAGAAGTGACTTGTTTGTGAATAAAACCCTCTAAAAAATTGTCTAACTGAAAGAAAAAAAAAAGAAAAAGGAAGAAATTAATTGGCCAAACATTGTCAAGGAACTCTGCTTAATGAAGAAGGGGGTTAAAGTAAGAATTTATGGGGGATGGAACTGACATCCAAGTGGTGCAGACGCATGTTGAGCGAGCTCCTGTGCCCGGTGTGGCTTAAGCAATTAAAGCATCTAGCTGAGAGAGGGCTCTTCCCTGAACCTGATGACACCACATTTCATGCGGTGCTCAAACTAATTGCCCAGATCATGAAAGGGCTGGCGTGGGAACGACAGCTGCTCTCTTGGCGACTTACCCAACTGTTCGGCGCTAGCAAATTGATCTCCCTTTCGACTGATATACCTGCATCTTATAGCCTTGTCAATTTCAAGATGGTAAAGGGGAAACCGGAGATGACACACACGGACTACGATGTCCAAACTGGACCTCATTTTCACTGGTTTCCCGTCTTGATTGGCAGCCACGCAAAACAGAACGCAGTCTCCTCCAGTGAGTAGGCAAAAAAAGTATTGTAGCAATCAATCACTACAATTGTGAGTAATTCTACAGTGGGGACTATCACTAGGTCTGATGGCAAGCAGAAAACTCTCCCTACCAGGCTAATGCGGACAAATTCTACTACTACATGTATATTGGGAGCAGAAAAAACACTGGACTGGGCCTGTTGGAGTTTGGAGTTAGACTTGGGCCTGGAAATGTGTAAATGCCTTTTCCATTGCCCCCCAAAATTGCAACTACTGCTTTGGAAACCTAGTAGAAGATGGGAGAAGGGCTGCAGCAGGTTAATCTGAGCTACATGGGACTGCACGTTATAGGCTGGTCCTCATCCTGCAGATTTGGAATCGGATGGTTCAGGCTAGCGTTCAATGCAGTGCCACTTTCTTTTAGTACTGTTGTCCTTTTTGGGGTGTTCTTCTGTTAACTATTTGCTTGCATACTCACACATTTGTTTATTCTACCCAATTTAAAATGAGATGTTCTCCTCTACCAGCAAGGCCTTTACTATTATGTTCTTTTCTATTCACCATTTGTTTTGTCACATCCTAGTCTTTCTTGTCATATATTATTTGCTATCATCTCAATAAAAATAAAATAAAAAAAGTTGACAAGAAACGGAAGAATATATTGAAGGGATTTGCATTTTGAGCACTGCTAGTCTAAACATGGCAGAATATCATGTGTCTGCACAGTAAAGTCACATAATTGAAACAGTAGGTTAACTCGCCCGTACCTTCTCCTGAAGAAAGAGCAGAACATTCCGTGGGCCAGTGACTAGCACCGGGTCCAAATACTGGCCAAGTTCAATATCCGTGGTAACATGCCCTCGATGTGCACTAGGCTGTGACATCCACAATGAGCTATAAAGATACATTTAAATGCATTAATTCTTTAAACGCACAAAGAAATATATAAATATATACACACACAGTGCTGGGAGAAAGTACCCATATTATGCATCCAATCAGATTACGGTGTAGGACATCCAAAGAAACACACAATATTCTGATTACAGTTCACAAAGACATTTGGTGGCAGAAGATCCTTGGCAAAGTAAGCAGTCGGCACTAAGTGCTCTGAGTCAACTGACACTGTCTGCATGTTGAGATAATCAGAACCTCCTGACAAGAGGCAGGGACTTCTGGTGTAATGGGGTCTTCTGTCTCCCCGCACACAGTGTATTATAACTGTAGCTATAAGGTTATGGTGTAAGAAGGTCCCATGTCTCCTCGCACACTGTATTATAACTGCAGCAATAAGGTTATGGTGTAAGGAGATTCCCTGTCTCCCTGCAAACGGTGTATTATAACTGCAGCTATAAGGTTATGGTGTAAGAAGGTCCCTATTTACCAGCACACAGTGTATTATAGACTCCCATTACCCCTCGCTACTGCTGGTTATAAAGAAACCCATTGCCCCACTCCCCTGCCTCCTGTTGGGTATTAATACCCCCATTGTCCCTCTCTCTCCTTCCCCCTGTTGGGTATTAAGACCCCCATTGCCTCTCTCTCCTGCCCCCTGTTGGGTATTACAATCCTATTGCCTCTTTCTCTCCTGCCCCCCTGTTGGGTATTAATACCCCCATTGCCTCTCTCCCTTCTGCCCCCTGTTGGGTATTAAGATCCCCATTGCCCCTCTCTCCTGCCCCCCTGTTGCCTCTCTCTCCTGCCCCCGTTGGGTATTAAGACCCCCATTGCACCCCCTCTCTCCTGCCCCTGTTGGGTAATTAGACCCCATTGCCCCCCCCTCTCTTCTGCCTCCTGTTGCCTCTCTCTCTCCTGCCCCCTGTTGGGTATTAAGACCCCCACTGCCTCTCTCTCCTGCACCCTGTTGGGTATTAAGACCCCCATTGCACCCCCTCTCTCCTGCACCCCCGTTGCGCATCTCTCTCCTGCACCCTGTTGGGTATTAAGACCCACATTGCCTGTCTCTCTCCTGCCCCCTGTTGGGTATTAAGACCCCCACTGCACCCCCCTCTCTCCTGCCCCTCTGTTGCCTCCTCTCTCTCCTGCCCCCTGTTGGGTATTGAGACCCCCATTGTCCCCTCTCCTGCCCCCTGTTGGGTATTAAGACCCCCATTGCCCCCTCTCTCTCCTGTCCCCTGTTGGGTATTAAGACCCCCATTGCCCCCTCTCTCTCCTGTCCCCTGTTGGGTATTAAGACCCCCATTGCCCCCTCTCTCTCCTGTCCCCTGTTGGGTATTAAGACCTCCATTGTCCCCTCTCTCTCCTGCCCCCTGTTGGGTATTAAGACCCCCATTGTCCCTCTCTCCTGC